GTCTTTGGAGAAGTAGGGATAGGAGTCCAGATTTCTTGGCTTAGGCTCACATCTGCTTTCAACTGTCATCTTTTCTCTTTCCGATTAAATATATCATAAAGGTGATTTTTGCCAGAGTCGTTTTATTTCATGAGAAAACAATGGGTGTAAGTGAAATGGCTCCCAGTATAATTCTTGAAAACAATATTCACAATGGTTTCATTCTGTGGATTATTGGATAGAAGGAATCAGGACAAGAGGGAACTGGAAATAAGCTGAAAACATTTGCTCTTTACAATTAGCAGGTGGATCCATGTACTATACAAAATACAAAAATAAGAGAAACTGAAAGGAAATCAGTACAGCCCAGGATTCCAGTGGTATTAAATCACGAGTGAAACATTACACTAGACCCTTTTGATGTATTTATCCCCTTGAAATTCAGTTTCTTATATATTATTCTATATAATATATATAGTTTCCCAAAGATACATATATACTCCTTTACAGGTTAAATAAGAGCAAGTCTCACTGAATGAGAAAATAAAGAGAAGGAAGAAAAAGTTCTAATTGCTTGCTCATAGTTTTCCTGGTAAAAATAAGTATGAAATACATTCAAGAGCAAAACAGCAGGAGTCTGGAAGAAATTACAAACAGCTCTGTATTCCTGTGGGATAGAAATGTGCATGGTGGATAACAGTTCTGAAATAAATTCGTTTTGCTGGCCTCTGAACTGGGAAAGGTATTAATTAATTCTGTATGATTCTCTGTTGATGCTTTCTACATGTAAGTCCAGTTTGGAGACAATATTGTTGTATGCATGCATGTTCAGAAGTCAGTTCACTACTTTTTTCTAATTAAAAGGTCCAGTATGAGAGGGGATAACATTTATGTATGCACTATTAGCACTGAAGTATTTGGATGGAGATGCTTTTTGTGGTGGTACAGCCCCCCCATGGGATGTTAGTATAATAACTAGATAGGAAATGCAGAATAAAAGTATGTATTCATTAAGAGAAAAAATCTATGGTGCTATGCTGTGTTCACATCCCTGGGCATACACAATGCCACATGTCTGCCAAAGCCCATTATTGTACAATAGATTGCTTTACAATGTATTGACTTGTTGATCAATACACTGATTCATCCTTTAGATAAAGCCATTACTTGGATCTTCAAAATACTGAAAGAACACATGCTGAAGGATTCTTTCTACTGATTGAGAAATAAAGACAGCATTATATAATGAAAAGTTAACATTTTCAGTGCTGAAAACTATTTAGGCTTATTAGATTATATGACCATACACTGATTAGCCCAGGATCCCTCTCATTGCTTCGTCACCAGAGAAAAATACAAGTTTCTTCCATCCTTGCTCATATAAGTTTTGCCATGAATTTCAAGGGTTTATTTCTCTCTGTGTCAAAATTTACTCCTGCCTGTTTCCTAGAAAGCAATTGTGACACATTAGCAAAGACATTTTTCTTCATATTTAATTACATATTTAATTGCAGCAGTTAGTACAGTAATGTTTTATATATTATAAATGACCACGTCCTTTCCACTAGTCTGTGTGTTTATGATATGTACTAAACTCTGTGGATGAAATCCTAGCCCTGCTGAAGTCAGCAGGAGTTTATCCATTGATTTCAGGTTGATGTTTTGCAACAGAAACGATGTGGTACTCGATTTCTCTCCACGTAGACTACAAAAATTCACTTGACTGGTATGACTACTAAGACCCTCATTTCAAGAGGAGGGCTTTTGACCTGCCTGATGCTCCATTCTTTAGTGGGAGAAGAAAACTCATCCTGCTCTTTGTTCCAAATGGTTAGGGTTTTTAATGAAACAGCGAAGGACAAAACAGGGGGAAAAAATCCAGTGCAATAGGAAATGTAATAGCTAAATAACAAATTCTTCCACATGGTTTCCCATACAAAGGAAGATTTTTTTTTCTGTTGATCTAAATGTAATTTAGCTGTAGCAAGGACAAGAACATATTATTTAATGACAAGGACAGAGAAAGGGATGTTTATCAAGCTGGGTAACTGATTACAGGGTTGATTACTTTTCCTATTATTGGTTCCAATCAGTATCAATGCTTCAGACCCTGAGCAACTGACCATGTCTCTAAATTAAGCCATATAGTTAGATTTCCAAAGTTTCATTTAATTCTCCACAGCCAATTTGGGATGTGTGAAATCATGCAAAATATGCACTGTAAATAAATAAAAGCTGATCCACAAAGATAGTCAAGATTAGTTGAGATCTCCAATGCAACTTATCTAACTTGCTTATTTATCTTGTAAAGTGTTATCCCCTAATAAAAAACAATTTCTGTTTAAAGTGAAAACAAGTTCTTTTTCTTTCTGTCTTGTGCATCCCTATAAGAGATTAGTACCCAACAACTGCACCAAACTATATTCTTTACAAAAGCTTTTTTTCCCTATGTAAAATGAAGGCCATATTTTAGAATAATTTATTCTTAATAAAAGGGGAAAACAATCTATAATGCTTATTCCTTACATATGAATCTGAAGTCAAACTTATACAACTGTTGGGTGCAGACATGCAGTACTGAGTCTTAAAAAAATTATCAGCTGTCTTGAAGGCTTTGCGCTATGTTGACTACTTCAGTCCCAGTTGAACATATTCACATTAGTGTGACTTTCACTTTTTCAGTGGGAAACTTTATAACCTGAACAAATATCAAGCTACCAGACAGGTCAGCCAGTATACGATGTTCCTCTTGTCTGTACCTGGTTCTGTCATTCAGCACCGAAAGGGCTAAATAAAACCCAGATTTTAAATCACTATTACAATATTAAATTACTTGTATTTATAAGTTAGAAGTAGGATTTTTTTGCTCACCTGTTACTACTTTGCAATCTTATCAACCCTTTGTGTTTATTCAATATAACAAGGTCACCATCATAAAAAGTGACACAGATATAACATCAAGTTATTTTGATTATTCTCTTCCAGTAATTTCAAGCAAGATTTGCAATTTCTAGGTCAAAATATTACTCTTTTAATTGCCAATGCTACAAACTCACCTTCAGAGAGACAGAAAAGACTTAAAACTATATTCTACCTCTTTTAACAGTACCAGGAATGAAGATTCTGCCATCAGCCCTTTTATTGCTAATATAATGCACATGAGTTTCCAGCTTCTACTCCTAAAGCTGTTAAGAGTTCATCATGGCTAATGGGGAGCAAACATGTTTTTGACAAGAGAGATCTGAGTTGGAAGACCCACGGAGAGCTGCTACATTGGGTAAAATGAGTGCCATTTTTAGTAACTTTTCTGATTGGAATTGCATTTATGAGCTTCATCAGAAAAATATTACAAATCAAACTGCAGGCATAACTTAAAGAATTAGAATATAAATGAGAAATGTTGGACAATGGTGGTGGTTTGATACCAATAATGCTGGCTATCAGCATGGTACTTTTAAGTAGTTCAGTACAGAAATTATCATGGAGGCTAGTAAGGTATATTTAATAATGATCAACTCCAGCTTTCTAGAGAATTTAATTATGCATGAGATGGTACTGGCAAGTGAATTAACAATTTTGGTACTAGAGATTCTACAGGATAGGAACATGATCTTTGAGTATTCTGATAGGTATTAGTAGCAATAAATTGATGGGAGAAACACACACCAGTTCTATTCGCAGATCTCTCTCTTGGTTTGATTTCACTATGTAACAACATTCAGACAATCACTGTTCTTGTGGGTAAATTTATAATTTACTATCACTAGAGGAACTTTTTATCCATCTCTGTTCTTAGAAGGAAGAATCTACGTCACCAAGTTGTTGGACACTTGCTGCCTGAAAACAGTGACTGTCTTTTGATCTCTACTTGAAACAGCTGACTGCTTCTCAGAATGACTCATTTGGCACAGGTAAACGTTAAACTTGTACTACATGAGATGAGTATCATTAAACTTTATTGTACAAATCTGACAAGATATTTGCATTACGTAGTTTAATAAAACAAAACAAGACTAATGTCCCAGAAACAATTTTATAACATGGGAAACTTAACACACAACTAACCTCTTGTCCAGGAATGATATTTACCTGCAAGACTTTCTTAAAGACATGTTAAATATAATTCAAAAAATATTTCCATCAGTTTAAGCAATAGGTTAATTTTCCACGAAATATTTTTATAAACATGTTTATGTTCAATCAAAAACATAACAAATGCTTTTGCACTTTTGTCTTAGAGATATAAAACAACTGCATTTTCAGACAGGCTTGGAATCATCAGAAAAGTTTACCCCATGGAAAAAGTCTAGGTTGTGTTTCCCATTTAAATATTTTTCCACTTAAAAAAAAAATACACAGTGACTTAAGTGTTCTGTAATCTAGCATAAAAAACAAATAGATGTTTTTTCCATGGTGTTTTATTTTCCTGTGCAAAAAAACTTTTTGATTCAATGCCTTCAGTTCTGTGTCAAATTCAATGCTTAAGCCTTGTGTTTTAGGGAGATGCTTCCATCGACTCCTCTCAAAAAAACACCTGCTGTTGCACAGGGTAAGCAGAATATCAAACCTAAGTAAGGTTTCTTACCTACTTGGAAGAAAAAGAATAGTTTTACCATTGTTCTTATGCAAGGAATCATTTCTGGAGTAGTAAAAGCAGCAAAGAGTAAGAAGGGAACAAAAACATTTTTTTTTAAGTTCTAGTCAGCTGTAAAACAAGAAGTAAAACAAAGCTGCTGTTTAGTACCAGGAAGACCTGCACTCCTTGCATTTGTGCAAAAAAGTAATCCAACACAGACTATTTCCAGGGAAGATTATATAACCACTTGTGCTATAACAAAAAGTGCAGAAGATCTTCTTGGCTGTAGCCTATGACCTATGCTTGATAATATAGGGAAAGTGCTTCTCTGGGGATGCAATCACAGCTACAAACTTTTGAGATGATCCCATGGCATGAGCAATCCTAGACACCAGAGTACAGCCTGGCATTACACTGTGCTTTCTTTGATATTTATGTTTCAATACTCTAATGCTGCCCTCTGTCTCTTCCCCCAGAAGGAAAAAAAATCTGGTTTATGCAAGACAAAAATAATTTTGAATAATTATAATTAGGCATATACTGAAGACTTAGTTTTGAATTATTTATTATCCATCTTAACATTTAGGCATATAAAATAAAGTGTAAAAGTATGAAGGTATCAGAATGTGGCTTTCAGCAAGGCAGCTGGGAAACAGGTATTCAACATAAAACAGGATTCTTTAACTTCCCCTTGAAAAGGGTCACACCAGAATGAATGAAAAACACTGAAGGATTTCACTTCAAGGCCTGCCTTCCTGCCTTTCCCCAAGAGGAGAGACCAGTGAAAAAAAATCCTCCAGGGTTCAACTGTGTTGTTCTTTGTGCTCTTGTGCCTGAGATCTGGCTGGAACTATGTACTGCTTTCTTTGGGTGGCTGCGATGGCTGAGGCTGCTGAGGTGGCTGTGTGCCTGTGGCTGTTTTGATAGAGTTCAGGGTTTTGCTAAACCAAGAGTTTCTGGCAGCTTGGATTTCATTCATAAGGGCTCCTCTCTGATGCTCCAGCTCCTAAGGAAGTAGAATAGTCAAGGTAAGATCAGAAAACCATTTGTTACAGAAAGGCATCTTCAAAGTCAGTCCTTCTAACCCAGCTTTCCCTCACCACATTCATGCAGGGGAAGAGAAAGTTTGCTGAATGGCAGAAGATATTATAACAAATTATAATCCTTTTTCTTTGAGAGCATGGAAAGGAGACTGAAAATTAACACCTCATGGTTCTTGGAGCTCACAAAAATATTGGTCAAGTCCAACTATAGGTCGGCATAAGATACTCTCACTGGCGATATGGGCTGGTGTAGCAAAGGTACAGGTAAGAGTGAGTGAGTGAGTGTGTGTGTCTAATACACACACAGTGAGCTCATGAGGTTTGAAACTGGATAAAGGATGATGTTAGCACCAAATTATCATGGCACACAAGTCAAAATGCAAAGCAGAATAACATTATAAAAGGAAGGAGCTGTCATATGCTACATCTGAACCAGTGAAGGATGAATACTGTCTAAGGGTGCCTTACTCAGACAAAACTTCTTACTAAACAATGTTGAAGATACCCCACACGATAACACAACCTGAGGCAGAGGTTACCGCTACAAGTCATAGTCCCCACAAGCTAAATAGAAAAGAGAGTGTTCCAGATAGAGATGGGGCAAAATGGGGCCATAAATAAAAGTTATATTTCTAAAACAGAATACTATGTGTTTCAATTACTAAAGGCTGGAATGTCATTGAATGGGAATGGTGTACAGCTGTAGTACACCAACAGAATTTTAAAGAAGTTCTGGGTCTCAACCTTCCCAAAATTCCTTAAGGCTTATTGACCTTCAAGAGGATGCAGTATGTACTCTTCTATATTATGTTCATGCCTCCCTTAAAGCCAAGTCTTATGCAAGGATGGCTACATTCAACTCCAGTGCAAGAGTGAAAAGACATAAGAAGTCTCCCCTTGTGTCCTAGAATAAGAGCATACCATGACTCGAGCCCAGAGTTTCAAAGAACCAGCTATGGTTAGATTTCCTTTTCACATGGAGTCATTGTGGACAGATGTAATGTGCTATATTTCACATAACCCATTAATCACTGTCTAGTTCTTAACTCCTTTACATGCACATGCAAGAAAACCAGGTTCAGTCTTTAAAAAGAGACACCATGTATTTAAAGAAATTTTAGGCCTATATAACATCAAACTCAAGTGTAGAGCTCTTGTACCTCTTTAGATTACCCTTTAGAGCAACTGTTTCTATGAATCATTAACACTATTAGAATATCATCTATACTACAGAATGTGACCAGCTCAGGGAGAGTTTTTTGCAACTGGATTCCCCATCCAGCTGTAGGATAGACAGGGCTTAATATAATCACTGCATCTTTGTGGATGGCAAAAAAAACCAAAACAAACCCCACACATACCAGTTTTCTGCAGTAGGAAACTAGAAGTTATACATACCTGAATTTTGCACTTGGCTTCCACAAGCTGCAGTTTAGTCTGTGCCAGTTCCAGCTCCATCTCCCTCAGCTGTTTCTTAAGAGCATCCTTCTCATCATCCACTTCTGTTCCCTGGCTCTCTCTGCTTACAGCAGGCAGCTTTAGTGCCCCCTCCTTACTGAAAATCTCACTACAGTGTTTGCAGGCCATCACTTTACTCTGGAAGAGGCACAGAACCATTTTTAGTTGTGTTACAAGTAAGTATTCTGTTTCTCAAACTGCACTTATATCAGATTTCCTTTCTGATGGTAATTAGGGAGCCATCAAGCATGTGACATTTCACACTTAGACATGCCTTAATGGAACCACAGACATGGGCTCCTACAACAGGATAAGAACCCCTAATAATCCATTCAGGATGCTGTTTAATTATGTATTTTTTCAGCACTCTGAACGTTGAAACCCATGCAGACTTTCTTGTTGCCAAGACTTGCAATATTTCTGCAGCATTAATATTAGCATGTTTCAATAGAGTAGATTTCATTTCAGAGTTTTTCTCTAGTTTTCTTTTCTTTTTTAAAATAGAAATGAAGCTCTTGACCAAAAATTAAGGTTAATGCAGCTCCTGGAAAAGAATTATAGCTATGTGACACTGCTCAGAAACCCATTCTCACTCAGATTCTTCTTAGTCCCTAGAAACAGGGAACCCCTTCTGGATACAGTGGTTGCTACTGCACTATTAAGTGTTAGGTTCTTATATGGTGTACCAAGAACAAAGAACTTTTGCCATACAACAGTAAATTGTGTATGATGTTGATCTGAAGAGTTAGGCAACTACCAGTGGCTGCTAATATAGTCATTTTTCCATGGCTTTCACAACACTTAATCAATGGTCAACAAGCAAAACTATTTATTGAACTATTTAAAGATAATAGTGGAACATTAAGCCTAGTCTTTATCCCTGTGAAACTACTTTTAGTACTACAGAAGTAACCATAAGAGTGGATGAAATTCCTATTTCAGAAATATTACCACTTTTTTAATAGTACATGATAATGCCACTTGCTTGTAAGCATGTGTAAAATATCTGGTTTAACATGATATACTAAGCAGTAAAATATTTATAACCATAGCACAAGACAGAGACTTGCCACTAGAGAGCAATGTATGTATTTTTCAGAAAGCTGGAAAACTACAGAAGCAGAGGGAGGAAGTCTTCTCTCTGTTATAATGCTGCACATATTGCTGTGATGGTATAAACAGGTTGTAGAAGTCCCTTGACCAGGTGAAAGTACAAAAGTGTGAACACTGCACAGAACAGTCATAGGTTGCTCTATGCAAGTCCCCTTGGAGTCCTGAGGGCACACTGAGGATGGGAGAAGTATTGATACAGATACTCTAAGAAGCCTAGGTGGGACCACTGTAAACAAAAGCAGTTCTCTGGTCTGCCTAAATTACACCATGGGCAGCTCAGAATTTACAGGATACAGAGGTAACTTCAAGCTGTTCTTGTTTCTCCATCCCCATCCTTCAGCTGTGCAAAATGGAGATGAAGGTCAGTCTCCTACAAAGGGCACCCTTTCCCTCATGTTTTATTAGAAAATATAACGTCATTCCTTCACAGTTTTTGCCAGTTCTACAAAGAAAATGAAATATTTGAGTTAATAACATCTCACATGAAGAGGCCTCATTCTCACCTTCACAACCTCCAGTTCATCTTTACTTGCTGCCTGTTGTTTCTCCAGCCTAGTACTCAGCTGGGAACAAATCTGAAGGAGAGAAAGCATATCTTTTAATAAAGTTTAATTTGCTAAGAAATGAATTATTGCAGTACATTTCAGCAATATTTATTATTAGAACCTCTTATGGCTTCACTTAACTACTGCCGCAGAAAATCAGCACATTTGTTTTCTTATAGGAAATCCATCATTAGTGATAGCAAGATATGGTTGTATTCAAGATACAACCTTAATGTGCAGATTGATTTAGTCAATTTAATGGTGCAGCTGGACTACACAGTTCAGCCTCACATGCAGGAGAAGGACAGAAATTACAACTTCAGTGTGCTGAGAACAGGATAATGGATGTAATGAAAACCACCCTGAACCTTTGTTGGGAATGGTGGCATATAAATCCAATAAATAAATGATTAGCCACAGAAACTAGGGGATTCCTGTTGGAAAACTGCAAGAAGAATTACAACCATCTCCAGAGTATGCTTCCAGAAAGCCTGAAGCAAGATGTGCAAGACTAGTGAGACTAGAACCCTAGAGGTACAGTATGCCTGGGGTAGAGGAGTGGGGGGAACCTTAAAATGGCTTACAAGAAATATGTATGAAAAACAATTTCTATATGAACATTACTTGTTTATATTCTGCAATAATGGCGGTAGTTTTCTTTATTTCAGACTCTGCCTTCTCCAGCTGCTTCCGGAAGACTTCCTTCAGCTAGGAAGTTCAAGGAGAGAAATCAGATTAGTGGGTTGCTTTGGGGAGTAATCATACTGCTCTCTCTTGAAGGTATGCTGCGTCTACAGTACTACTACAGTTCTTCACAACCAGTTCCCATCACATGAGAAAGTCTGGCATTTGAAAGCCTCTAAAAATCTGTTTTTCTCAATATACAGATACTTACTATTAACCTCAGTATTGGGGCCTGGCACATGTTCTATCTGTGGCTTGATTAAAGTGTTGATCACCAAGGAGTTAAAGCCAATTTATGGCATGACAACATGGCAAATGAGCCACAAAGATTTCCACATCTAACATGGACATCATTTAATGAGCCACAAAACTGTTGCACATTTGTATCATGCCTCAAATTGAACATGCTGCATGTTCGAGCTGACCCATGATAAATCCCAATGCTCAAATCTGACATGGGACAACCCGAGGGCCCTGGGCCCGGCCACTCCCTGCCCAACTCCCAGAGGCAGACAGGAGGGACAGCATTAGTCTGACATCAGGGATTCTTGGGCTCAGTGTGTCCTGGACCCTTAAAACATGGTCATGCAGTTGGCAGCCCCAGCAGTGTGCCCTGTTTCTGTGGCACTTGTGGAAGTGGCAGCTGGGAGCTCCCGGTGTTCTGCACCATGATTCCTGGCACAGGAGGACTTTTAAAAATGCAGCTACATTTGTTAAACCTCCTGGGTGCTTGGACCCAGATACTGGGAAAAGGTTCCCCAGGGTCTGGGTCTTAGTGCCCAGAGAGATTTAAAAAGCATGGCTGCAGCCCAGCTGCAGATGCTTTTTTAAAGTTACCTGAGTGCCAGGACCCAGAAATTAGGAAGCCTTTCTTCCTGTCCTCTGTAAGCACCAGCTGGGGAGCTGGGAGCTCCTCACTCCCCACTTGTCACTTTTGGGGGCATCTGGCTACCAGCTTCACACCTGCTTTAAGGTGCAGAGCACTATGAGACTCTGCAAAGTTGAGCTTACAGTAACCCACAACTTTAAAAAAGTGGGCATGCAGGTAACATCCAGGGCCTGTGGAAATGCCCATGGACGCAACAGTTGAGGAGCAGGGCACGGGCAGCTGGGAGCTCCCCACTCCCCTGCAGGCTCCTGATGCAGGGCTCTAAGTTCATCACGGGGGCACAGAAGGGAATTGGTGAGTATTTATTCACCAAGGCGCCCCCAGGGGTTACAAGAAATAATGGCCACAAGCTAGCAGGCAACAGATTTAGATTGGACATTAGGAAGAACTTCTTCACAGTTAGAGTGGCCAAGGTCTGGAACGGCATATGCAGGGAGTTGGACTCGATGATCTATTGAGGTCCCTTCCGACCCTAACATCTATGAATCTATGCTGGCAGCTGGCAGCCATGTGACTGGGATCTAAGGAATTTTATGGCCCACCCCCAAAACTGAATGACTTGCCATGACCATCTGGCAAGCACATTTAGCATGGCAAGTCACACAGCTCTGGGGGTGGGGCATAAAATTCTTCAGATCACAATTGCGCATTTACCTTAAAGTCTGCCAGCAGTTTAGGTCCCCCCCATTTGTCACATGATTAGCACATATCCTTTACTGGAAAGTTGTGCTATAGAGTAAGTGTGCCTCCACCTATATTAAATGCCTGATCCTGTTCTGGTAAATATAAACTAGCCTATTAAATACAGCTCAACATAGTTTAACACTTGGATAATCCTACCTCCACTTATTCAAATAGCTTGTCCCGAGTAAAAAGAAATAAACATCCTAGCATTATCACAGTGACCTCCCACAGTTCTGACTCTCCACGTGCCAGTGCATTACAAAACCACTAATTCCCCACTCTACTGTGCAGTATTATAAAATCTAAAAAGACTTTTCAATGTAAACAAAGGCCTCCCTTGCCAGGCATAGCACAGCTCAAGCATAGATGAGACTGATCATGGGACTCAGTTTTAGAGTACCTGAAGTGATGATGCATGAAACCTTTATTATGTGTGAACTGAGAGTGTCCTGTTAAGCAACGATGCAAATAAGCCTAATCGCAAGCTGTAAAAACCACTCTGAGATAAAAGGGACTTTTGCTATCAAAGCACACAGAAGTCATTGTTCAGGATGTAAAATACCATGTCTGCAACCTCACACATGCACATAAAACATTCTGCAAACTAACATCAGGTGAGGCCCAGGTAGGGAAAACCTATTCTAGATTCTGGGAGTACTGAGAAGGCAACCAGCAGCTGGATTCTGTATGGCAATTTATGCATAAGCAATCATTCCAGCTCCTTTTTAGGTACTAAATAGGGTCTAATTATGCTGTCTAGGGTAGGTGTCTGTTGTGTCATGAAAGTGAAAAGGATGGTCACTATAATGTTAGGTAAGGAAATGGACCCCTCAGAGCTTCAACCTGACAGGGAAAACACTAGGCAATAGAGAATTTTTCTACTTGAGCAATTTTTTATTCTCACTTCAATTTAAAGGAATCCTTTGTAGGGCTTTAAGAAATGTTTTATACATTTCTGCTTTGTTATGGAACCTCAAATTCTTGGTGTTCACATGTGTATTGAGAAGGTGGGAAAGCTCAAACATGTTTTACCTGAGCAGTTTCCTCTTCCTGCTTCCGCTTCTCCTCTTCAGTTTCCACTAACTTCTGTTTGGTCAGGAGAAGCTCCTTGTTCAGAACATCTGCTTTGTCTTCAGCCTAAGAAGTAGAAGAGGTGAGCTAAAGAAAACTGCCTCTCTCATGTACAGACAGTACAACTGTGTCAAGATATAGGCCACAGTTGTTATAGAATGAGAGTCTGGATGCAACTGCTGCCTCATGCTCTCAGATACTTTATCCGTCTATTATGTTCTCAGCATCATTTCTTTTTAAAGAACAAATATATTTTAAATAGCTGCTCACTAGGTTCTTGCACTGTGTTTCAGCAGCTGTGCAAAAGACTAGGTATGGCTGTTCCTATTAGAGTACCAAAGAATATGCCAGGGTATGTTAAGGGTGATTAAGGATCCTGAATCATGTTTGTGGCTCTTCCTATATATATGGGCATGTTGTACATTTCTGATGTTTGGTAAGTGAATGCAGAGAGCAATTTCAATTACAAGCAGCATGGTTTAATGGACTATGGTCATAAGCAGTGTCAGGCAACCAGTTCCATTTCTCCAGGCTTCAATTTTCACATATTAAATGGGAGAAGATGCTTACACTTCAAGAGAGATTGAGTTTGAAAGAGTAAAGTCTTGCTTCTATAGCAAAACTCAGTGTTCAGACCACAGTACATGGCAGAAAAGAGTTATTTAAAACTGTTCAGTTAAATACTACAAGAGAAATACTACTTATTAGAGAAGCCAGATAGTCCATGTCTATTAGGAGTATGAATTTACTTCCCCATTTGAAGCGCCAAGCATGATGGGTTAGTGCAGTGCAAATGTCTTGGTTCTGCAAGCGCTCCTTGTTGGCCTAACTGTTTCCAGTGAAGCAGATGTTTCATCAGGGTTTAAGATCAATCAGCTGGCTAGCTGACTTTCCTGCTTGGTAACTAAATATTCATGCAACCCATTCACTTCAATAAATATGTTGATGGAGCAGGCAGTGGGCAGAGTCAAAAAATAACTCATTAGCTGAAAAAGGGTAGGAAAAGCATTAGAACATGATTACTTGAACCTGCACATTGCTTTTCCATGACTGCTGGCATAGTGGCTCGCTGCTTTGCCATTCTGCTTTTGGTTATTAACCAGAGGCATTACTATGTGTGCGTGGAAGATCTCTACCAAGAATATGAATGAGGGGAAGGCAGAAGGCATGGTAAGTTGTTTCATGCATAGAAGGTAGCACAGAAGAATGTCCAAGGGAGGAAGTACTGAAAGGAAAGGCTGGGGGTATTAAGGCTGGAATAATGGATCTTAAAGGTGACCTGACTTATTTAATAAAAATCACAGTATAAGATCTTAGATCTGCATGGTTCAATATGTTCTTTGAGAAAACTATCTGAATATCAATCCCAGGTACTAGTCCTCCTAGTACCATCACTGGTATTTGATACCAGTTTTTACAGGGAAGTAATGGAGCATTTATCTAAAAAAGGGTAAGTGCCCCTATGTGGGTGAATTGCTGGTAAGAGGGGACAAGGAGTTACTTCAATCCTTAGACCTCCCACAGAGGAGACTGCTATATATATGGGAGAGCACTGAGGGGCAAGGCAGAAAATACTTGCTTTGGAGACAGAAGGGAAAAAAGTTGTGTGTGAACTGTGACTGCTGCTGGGGGCAAGCACCTCTCAGTGTCCCACAAGGCATCCATAGCATAATGCCTGCAGCCACAGCTAAGTAGAGAACTCTATAGAGATATCCAGTTTGATATTCTCCTTGTATAGCATTGACTTCTGCTACTGGGCTAGATGGACTCCTTGTCTGACCCAGTATGGCATTTCTTATATTCTTATTCCCCACCTATTTTCCCCCCACTAGCATGGCTCAGGCTCTTAGAGCCACATGAGCACCAAACAGCAGATTTGGATTTTTTAAAAAGTAATCTGCAAACTGAAACATGATAGCAGCAGTGTGGCATGGACAGTATTATTATATGAGAGAGGTATATATAATATACCTATATACTATATATATAGGTATAGTTTCCATACTAGATATGGACAACAGACTCATAACCACTGAAAGCCAAATTCAGATACCCTTGCTTAAGCTAAGATGCAGTTTACCCCACAAAATCCCATTGATTTTGTGGGTATACAGGGTTGATCGCTGTAAGTAAGAAAGTTAAAATTGTCCCCTATGAATTATTTTTAAAAGTTCATCTGTAAAAGGAATTATCAGAATATTACATGAAGTATTGCTGTGCAGATGGACAGCACCCTTAGTTTTGTGGGTAATCCTGTGAAACCTGCCTAGTAGTGCCAACATCTCCTAAGAAACCCTTATCCTCTGAAATAAACACCTTAGGCTTCATTGTGGCATCTAATAAGAATGGTTACCTAGCTCATGCCTTTCCAATCCAGTTTGTCTCTAAGATGCCACTCAGTCTTACTTTCTGCATAAAAGCAGAAACCTAAGTAACTGATTCATAGATTCATAGACGTTAGGGTCGGAAGGGACCTCAATAGATCAGCGAGTCCGACCCCCTGCATAAGCAGGAAAGAGTGCTGGGTCTAGATGACCCCAGCTAGATACTCATCTAATCTCCTCTTGAAGACCCCCAGGGTAGGGGAGAGCACCACATCCCTTGGGAGCCCGTTCCAGACCTTGGCCACTCTAACTGTGAAGAAGTTCTTCCTAATGTCCAGTCTAAATCTGCTCTCTGCTAGCTTGTGGCCATTATTTCTTGTAACCCCTGGGGGCGCCTTGGTGAATAAATACTCACCAATTCCCTTCTGTGCCCCCGTGATGAACTTATAGGCAGCCACAAGGTCGCCTCTCAACCTTCTCTTGCGGAAGCTGAATAGATCCAGTTTCTCTAGTCTCTCCTC